TTTATAGAAAACAGAGAAGTTTAAACTGAAATGGCAGGCACTGACATGTATTGAAGCCTGCTGGATTCTGTATTTGGAGCTGCTACCTGGCTAAGCTAAAGACAAATCTGAGGAGTGGATGAAGGGAATGAGAAAGTGCTATATCTTTAGTGGAAGCTTTTGGCATTGTTACTTGGGTCTTCAGAAAACAATGCAAAAAAAAAAAAAAAAAAAAAAAAGCTCTACTGTAACCCCATCGGACTGCAAGATTAGACTCTATTCAGTACACACTGGAACATATGCTTCAGCATTTGGAAGAATCGAGCTCTTATCTAAATTGGTAAGCTTAAGGTTCAGGTTCTTGCATAGCAGCACTAATTGCCCAGAACAGCACAAATGCCTTTTTGATAGTGAATTATGGTGTTGCATTACACAGTCGGTTACGTATACAGTACTGGTTGGTTTGAATTGACCTTAGTAAGATCGCGGAGCCATATTCTTAAAAGTTAGGGAATGTAAGAACTAAGGTGACTTTGCAGTTCTAATTCATTCCTGGGCATGAATTTTTCAAATCTTTAATTGCACAATCTCATCTGTCTGTGTTCTTCACAAAGCCAGAGCTCACTTAGTAGCTCAGGAAGAAGGGAGCTCACTTTACGTGAGCAGCTAGCTCTTCAATATTGTCAGGCAGTGTAGCCACTCTCTTAAATGCTGCATAGTAGATGAACCTTGTTCTGAAGAAAAAAGGATCTTATGGTTTTTGGTACTCATTGCTATCTATCTGGAGTGCTTCATAAAGAAATCTATGAATTCAATTTCACAGCAAACTTAGTCAATTTGAAGAAAGTGACTGTTGCTGTTACTTTACCAGTGTGTGGGCAAACTGTAGAGGTTTCAAAGTCAAAACAGTCAGCCTATTTTGAGTGCTTAGTGTCTGAAGCTTTATACATAGCTCTTGATAACACAGAGATCTTGTTGGCTTTGGTTACAGTGGTGATGTTTTTTCAGGAGTGAAGACACAGAGTTTGGACTGCGATCATAGGAGTAGTGCACAATTACTCTGTGAAGAGTCTGGATTGAGCATTTTGTACAGCTTCATGCTAGGCAAAGGAAGGAATCTGGTTTCTCAGCATTTTCCTTCTTGCACTCTGTTGCGATGGTAATATTACAGTAGGCAATCCCAGCACCCTCTTTTACCATCACCTGCTTGCTTCCATCATCAGATAGTTCTGCTACTTGAGGGAAATATGTGATTGCTCAGGGAAACCAATCTAAGTGCCAGTTCTTGCTGTTTAATCATGCTGCTGTGGTGTGGCAAAAGCTGTGTCAGCCAGATCAGTTCTTTGATACGGTTTGTTGTCTGGCTGCACGAACAGTTGCATTGGCATAATGGCAGCCACAAGTTTTGGGTTTGGGAGGGTGGGAACTGCCTAAAGCAAATTTGGAAACAATTTTAAAAGTACTGCTGCCAAAGATGCAGCCTCAGCCAAATTTATCTTCCTTGGTCACCCTCCCCTCTGCCCCCCTCCATAAACCATCTTCTGTCTGCTGCAAGAAACAAAGCAGGAATCCAAAGTGGTGAGAACGAGTTCGTAGTGATAAGTATTGTGACATGAGCCTCTTGTGCCCTTAGATCATGTCCCGGGCATGTCTTGAAATAGCAGCCTTATGGGAAAGGTGGCAGTAAGTCCCTCCAGCCCTGGTATTGGGCCCTGGTTCCAGTTTCTTGTCCAGCAAGTTCCAGTCTCCCTTCCCTTTAGTTGCTAGTCTTATCTTTTTGTTGCTCACCTCGCAGCTCTCCATCCTTCCTTGCCCATCATGGTTCCTCATTCTGCAGTGTCCCATCTGCAGCCTTTTCAAAAGATTTGCTGTTGGGAGAGAGGCTGCGTACAGTCTGTCTGCAGTGACGATGGCTTTCTCCATTTCAAACGTGTTCAGCAAGGAAGAACTCTTCAATTTGTAGTTGCTGTGCTGTGTTGGCTGCTGGGCAGGTGCAGATGGAGAGTGTTTTCAAGGTCTTTTAGCTCACCCACCTTTGGGCAGTTTTGAAATAATGTTGAGATGTAAAAGGACTCCTTTCTCTGGCACAATTCAGGCCCCTCTTCTAGAAGTGAAGAAGCTAGGCCTTGTCAGATAAGAGGACCAGAATTCAATGCTGGAAGAAAACAGATGGTTTTGCCAACTTTATTCTTGAAAACAGCAGATCTACTTTGATTGTGCCCCCCCCCCCGAAAACCTCATCCTAATGAAGAATTGCAGCTTATCCTGTCTTGTGTTCCAAGGACTGCTTTGGCAAATTTAAAAGGAAGCAAAATATGAATTACTTTGATAGGAAATACAAGGCAACTTTAGTAGGAGGTGCTGCAAGCTCCCAATAGAAAGTTAGACTGAAATTAGAAATTTAGGATGGTAACTTTTTATTCTCTAACTATTTTTAGAAAAACTGCAAAAAGTAGTGTTTCCTTTCTTTGCATTAATATGATATGTAGAATTTAGCTTTCAGAATTAATGATCTCATTAACTGTTATATTTGTCCTATTTACAGATGCTTGTTTTGGTGAACTGCCATGTTTAGTGCTACAAATGTAGTGTTCACCTAACTAGACTTTAGCCTTTTGTTATCTGTTCATTTTTGTTAACTCAGGTCTGTTAAAACTTGCGCATAGTTTGAGTAGTTTTCTTCAGGATTTGACTTCGTCAGTGCAAACTTCAGGATGTGTAAATTGCTTATGGAGTGAAACCTGTGCACGTTTCAGAATATCTGAAGCTTAAATAAAAAGGCTTTTGTCCTGTGTGTTTCTCTTATGTTTTGGGAAGAGAAACAGAGCAGGTTGGAAGACTTTTTTTCTTTGTCTTGAGCAGAAAACCTATTCATTATGGATTTACCTGGGATTTCACTTTGTGTCTTGAAACTTTGTCAGCAATTAATAAATTTTACGGAGGATTTTGGTATGTTTTTCTATAGAAAAAGTAATTTAAGTCTGTAGTCAAAGAAATTGAGTCCATAGGCATTTGATTACTTCATGTGCTATGACCTTTTCTTTTCTTACTGTCCTCAGTGAAGAAAAGACTGCACACAGCATGGTACTTGCTTTATCTTTGTTTTGTTTTATTCAGGCCTAAGTTACCACTTTGGTTACAAGTGTTCAAGAAAGCCAAGTGCTGCATGCATTGGCCGTGTTAAATACAAATGCAAGTTACGTGCTTCTTCCTGCACTTGGGTCACAGCAATCCCATGCAATGCTACAGGCTTGGGGAGGAGTGGCTGGAAAGGTGCCCAGGGGAAAAGGACCTGAGGGTGTTGGTGGACTGCTGGCTGAATGAGTCAGCAGTGTGCTCAGGTGGCCAAGAAGGCCAACAGCATCCTGGCTTGTGTCAGAAATAGTGTGGCCAGCAGGACTAGGGAAGTGATCATCCTCCTATGCTCAGCACTCGCGAGGCTGCACCTTGAATACTGTGTTCAGTTTTGGGCCCCTCACTATAAGAAAGGCATTGAGGTGCTGGAACATGTCCAAAGAGCAACAACAAAGCTGGTGAAAGCTCTGGAGAGCAAGTCTTCTGATGAGTGGCTGAGGGAACTGGGGTTGTTTAGCCTGGAGAAAAGGATGCTGAGGGGGGAGACCTTATCGCTCTCTACAACTACCTGAAAGAAGGTTGTAGCTAGGTGGGTGTTGGTCTCTGCTCCCGAGTAACAAGTGATAGCACAAGAGGAAATGGCCTCAAGTTGTGCCAGGGGAGGTTTAGACTGGATGTTAGGAAAAATTTCTTCACTGAAAGAGTTATCAAGTGCTGGAACAGGCTACCCAGGGAAGTGGTTGAGTCACCATCTCTGGAGGTATTTAAGAGAGGTGTAGATGTGGTACTTGGGGACATGGTTTAGTGGTGGACTTAGCAGTATTAGGTTAACAGTTGGGCTTGATCTTAAAGGTCTTTTCCAACCTAAATGGTTCTGTGATTTTTAATGTATCATGTTAATTCCAAGGAAGATGGTCATACCATTAAGTTTTACCTGAACAATTCATAGGTAAAAATTTAGTAAGGCATGTGTATCCTGTGAACAGTAGACACCTTATTTAAAATATTGTAAATCAAATTACTGTAACTTGAGAGTAATTGATGAGTTTTCTGTATGTGTAATCAATTCTCTAATGGTAACTACAAATGTCAGCAAATTCTGAAAAGACGGAAATACTTAGTACTTTGTTCTGAAATGAATTTTTTTTTCCTGTGGACAAGTGGACTATCAGGCATGTAAAAATGACCTACTTCTTAAATAGAAGCTGTTTTTTAAATAGTTGGAATTAAATCCACGCTTGTATTTCTTTTTTCTTCTCTTCTCATCCCCTAGATAGATGTGCATGTTCAGCGGGGATTAGGATTCATTCAAGCAGTGCCCCTTTTCCTGAATTTAAAAAGTGAATGAAATATTTTTTAAAATAGTCACCAACTTTGATGGAAAACATACCTGAAAGGTTTATCGGAAGCAACTGGAAAGATAGAAGACCTTTTCCATCTAATAAAAATACCAGTAGCCTTAAAAAACAAAGAATGAAAAAGAGCATTTGTGATTATGGCTGCTTGCCCTGCTCAGTGGGATCTTTCCCATGTGAGAGGCTGTGGCCAGGAGTCCCCCTCAGTTTGTTTCTTCTCATAGAGATACCAATTTTGGGTTGACATTCTGCTTAGCAGGTTTCTTTGAAGTAGGTGATGCTCGTAGGGAGTTCAGACAGATTCTGATACTCATAATGTTTTTTGGCTTGCTGTCTTATACCTCTTGTTTGGTGTGGGTTTTTTTAACTGAGAAATGTGGGACTTGTCTCTTTAGTAGTTTATCAGTACAGAGTGTAGTTGTACCTTGTTTTGCAAAAAGATGGTGCTTGTCAAAATGAAGCTTGACGTAAAAACACCGACGTGAACACTTGAGAACATACTTTGTATGTACAGGACTGTAAAAAGCTTATTCTGGCAGTATGCTTGTAAACATTTATTGTGCTTTTTTGGTTTTATTTTGACCCTGACAGAGCCAACAGTGCGGGCAGAACTGATGGAACAGGTGCCTCATATTGCTATGTTCTGTCAAGAAAACAGACCTTCCATTCCATATGCTTTTTCCAAATACTTACTGCCTATTGTGGTACGATACCTCGCAGACCAGAATAACCAGGTAAGTGTCTTTTACAAATAGTTTATTAGCTAGTTGAGCATACCTGATGTGATGCTAAATTTAAATAATTTAGCATCATACAAATGTGTAGTATTTCAGGATAAAAAAAATTTTGAGTGGACATGAAATATGTGGTGCTCCGAACTTTAAATCAAAGAAAACTTCCAATGTTTTTTCATCTAATGTGGTCTGTTCTGATTTGGGGCCTTTTATCTGGTACTGTATTCTTATGGACAAAATCAAACAGTCATTTTGATGTAAGCTTACATAATTTAAATTTTGGCAAAAAGGACCAGTAGTCATGAAAAACTGACTTCTTCGTATAATTCAATTATTTAACGCCATTATGTACCTTCTTGATCAGTTATTTGTATATTGATCCAATAAAGCTTTTGGATTGAACTTGTGTGGTTTGTTCCTCTGCATGTATGAGTTAATGTGCCTAAAGCTGTCTTTAGGCTTCTCAGTATCATTTCAGACCAGACTAATCCTAGGTGATACAATATTGTAAGTGTTGTAGACCTCTTAGTTTGTCACTTATTTCCTTGCCATTTCCAGATTTTCCATAATTAAAAGTAGGTACCCCAACCTGTTTTTCTTAGTAGTTGCTTTGCTAATTCATGTATAATACAACAACCATACTTCTGCTTGATATTCTCTTGCTAGCAGATTCAGCAATTCTTTTTATTGTCTTAACCTCTTCTGATACTCCATAGTTCATTTGGCTGGTTTGCTCTGAAACAAAGATCTCAAAGGTGTTTTCAAAATTGTTACATTGCAGTATATAGTCTCTTGCTGTATGTAATGCTTTCTGATGAAATTACTTTTTTTGAGAGGCAGGGTTAGCCATATACTAAGTCAATTGTTAATAGTTATCTTATTTTTGTACAGCTCCCCCCCCTTTTTTTTTAGATGGGACTAAGCAAAATTGTGTCTCAGAATTTAAAATACATTTGAAATAAACACAGTTATTCATTCTCCGCCGAACTTCTTAATCTAAGAAGATTGGTTTAATAAAATTCACATTCCTTTGAACTTTGTTACTCCTAATTAGTTGTGCTGCTTTTCTTTATGTAAAGCATGAGCTTTGCCACAACTACTTTTTTTGACATCGCTGTCCTGTGTTTTGGGAAGTACATAGGTGGCCACTTCATAATAGCTTTGCCATAGTTTATGATATGTAGGTGTTCTTGAGTTCAAACATAGTTTGTTTCAAACATGAAGTGTTTGCAAAAGTGCTTTTGGAGCACTTTGTCCTCTCTCTGAGTGCAGTTAGTATAGGGGTGTGGCAGTATGTGTCCTGTGTTTTGGAAGCTGTACCTATATTTAAACAAACCCCCCCACCCCCCAGCTCTCTTTGAATTCCTTGGTTTAATTTTTGTCTTTTTATGATAGGTAAGAAAAACAAGTCAGGCTGCATTGTTAGTTCTGTTGGAGCAAGAACTTGTAGAGAGATACGATGTGGAGACCAAAGTATGCCCTGTTCTGATAGATCTGACAGCTCCAGACAGCAATGATGATGTGAAGACGGAAGCTGTGGCTGTAAGTAACAGAGACACCAAATCATACAGTATAAAGTTTGTTTGAATGCTTGATAGTGTAGTGATAAAAATGTGTTTCAAAGTTGCACAGCCATGTGGTATTAAAGAGAAAAAATTATATTGCGATTCATAACTAATCTGTAACTTTTTCCATGCTGTGTTACACTCAAGTCAAGGTTAGATTTAAATTCAATAGCTTATGTATGCTGTAAAGAAAAACCCAGCTGGACAAGACAGCACAGGAGATTAATTTTATTGACTCCTGAAGCATCAGCTATTATTGGTTTTTTAGGTTTTCTCAGGTTGGTTTGTTTTATGAAAGTTTAAAATGCATATGTGGAAAATTTCCATCAGTGCCATATCTTCAAGGCTTGACTTCTGTTGGACTGAGTATGTCTGTTCTCTTTATTGCTTTTATTTTGTCCTATTGGACAAAATAATAAGCATCTGAGTTGTAACGTATGGTTGGTTGGTGGTTTTCTTTTTTGCATTAAACACAAGCTTAATAATTAAAAATTATTATGTGTTGAATTAAAATAGTAAGCAAAGTAATAATTTGTAAAGGAGAAAGACAGATGATATATGCCCTTATGTTTCGCTTGAATTTTTGCAATTTATGTTGATGGTTTTTGCTGGGTGACTTTTTTTTTCTTCTTCCTTGAGAGACCTCACTTAATTTACTTTTATGTGGCTGGACTCATAAACAGTAAGCAGGCTGGGCACTACTGCATTTGGCACCAAATAGCTAATAGCTAGTACTTTCTTGAAGAAGCGTACAAGTATAAGGGAGTAAAATTTGAAGCAGAACTGTTTTACCCATCTTCACTGTTTTGAAGATAATGAAATGTGACAAATGTTTCTGTAGCTGACTGACCTGCTAGGGGTTAGAAAAAGAAAGATTTGTTATTATACAAACATGAATTGAAATAGTTCTACTGATGTGATTAGGAAAGTTTAAACATAAAATTCTTTTACCTTCTATGAAAGTTTTACTAAAAATCAGAATGAAGGAGCAGTTAGAGGGAAAAGCTGTCACTTACTTTGGTATGATATGCTTTTTCAGTAATTTTATGTTAGGGAGTTGCATATGTGCAATATGGAGTGTTGTAATTTATTTTTAAATTATATAAAAGTTGTAGAAGTCACTTAAGTGTGTTGTCAACTTTCTGTTAATTGTAAATACATATATTAAGTATTGGAATAGTGAAAGAATCTTGTATCTTTTTCTATTTTTGTAAGTCTGTTTGGGTAAGATATGAGAGTAACTTCTGAGAGTTCAGTTATCTGTAGTTAGGAATTTGATTTAGTTTGAAAGAATAAGTGTTTTCTACAGCTGTGTTACATCATTACAGGGGGAGGGTAAAAAATAAATGCTTTTTGCAGAAGTGGCCAAACTTTTTCAATTCAAATGGATGTTTTCAATATTACTCACAATTTTCAATATAATATATGCATCAGAATGAAAAGTAAATGTAAAAAGCCTCTGCTTAACTGATATGGAGTTGTGTGTTGTGCAAGCATCCCTGATTAATGTCTATCTTACCATTAGATAATGTGCAAAATGGCCTCCATGGTGGGAAAGGACATCACGGAAAGACTTGTTCTTCCTAGGTTTTGTGAGATGTGCTGTGACTGCAGAATGTTTCATGTTCGTAAGGTATGACTTATCAGTATCTGGTCTGGATTATCTGTGAAAGGAGTGTCACGACCTTGGAGCTTGCGCTTGACTAAACGACTTTTTCCTGCTAGATCTCATTTGTGACATACAGAAGTGAAAGCTATGGGGTTTCTTTGTAGCTTGCACTTCCACAGATTTTTTTTTTATATATGACACTGAGTTTTTTTTCTAGAGTCCCTACCTTTATTATCAGAAACAAAGAATCTGCTTGTTCTTAGGGTCATGTAGGTAGCCATGAAAATGTGAACAAACTGTAACTGATACAACATCAGCCACCTAAGCTCATATCTCTGTGTGTAGATGAGATTAAAAAGATGCTCATTAAGACGAAACAAATCAGTACTCCATCATGGTATTTAGGTGCTGAGGCTGTGTTTTGATTTCACCCTGCCGTTGCATGGCTTATTTTTTGTGATAACTGCTTGTATTTTTTCATTTGACAGCACTTTGAATGCATTTTATCTTCCTTCCCTTTCACTTAAGTTCTGGTGTGGTTCTTTTGTGATTGAAATGGCTGATTAAGCTTGAAATGAAGTAAACAATTTTTAGATTTCTTTTAAACCATGCGAGCTGATGGAATGGGGAAGTAGCTGATGCATAGTTTGCACTGAAACCTGTTTTTATGGTTTTAAAAGCTGTTTATTTTTTTCCTTTGATTTTATTTGCTGTATTAAAACTATGGTCTTAGTGGTTATTTCATGCATTTTGTCTGCAAGGTATGTGCAGCCAATTTTGGAGATATCTGCAGTGTGGTTGGGCAGCAAGCCACTGAAGAAATGCTGGTAAGCCGTTTCTTAAAGGATTTTTCATTTTAATACAAGCCAGTAGTGGACCTGAACAAGGTACAGAAGAAGAGCAGCTAAAATGATTATGCAGCTACTATATTCCTTTAGTAAGGAGAGACTAAAAAAGCTGTGACTCTCTAGTTTTGCTGACATAAATGTCAATCATAACCTTAAAAAATCTTGAAGATGCTTACTATGAATAAAGAACTCTTACTTGCCAAGTCACCCAGTCTAGAGCTAAGGGGTACTTAATTCTAGAGCTGGGAGAAGGGTTTAAACTAGACAAGAAAATACATCAAGCTGTGGAGGCAGAGAGTATTTGCAAGTTCAAAAATACATTAGGCAAGAAGTAGTCAGCATGTCTTTTTAATGTCCATAAATGCAATAAGAGATTGCAGATACAGGAGGAGCAAAGAGGCATATAGACTACTAGAAATGTTGAGGCTTATGTGGTCTCTTTTAAACAGCATCACTTAATGCTGCTGTTCATTGATTTAATAATTTAAAGTCAGTTTTTCCTGACTCTAGGAAAGCCTCACAGCCCTCCTGGGAAGGGGGGAAAGAAAAAGAAAGGCAGAGAAAATAAATGAATTTGAGCAATAACAAATTCAGAAGGGAAGACATACAAATTCAAAATGGAAAAGCAGGGAACCGGATGGGGCAGTGAGCAGAAGATCCTTAATGGTGCCCCCCATTCCCCTGGCGGGTCCAAGGAGCTGGTGGATATTGCTAGGCTTGGAGATGTGATAGGGCTAGGGAGCTGAAATCAGCCTGACGGTCATTGGGATCCTTCTTCACGGTTTATCCTCTTGGGGATGTGGAGGGTGATCTTGTTGAGGGCCAGAGGAGGTTGATGAGTCAGTGCCATGAATTAGCGGCAGACTTTGTAAATGCAGGTATGACTTCAAGAGGCTCTGCAGCCTTTTGCAAATGTGGTGTCTGGACAGGCAGGCTTAGTGTGACCCTCAGGGCTTTTCTTACTTTCTTACAGCATTTGCTACATTTTTACCTAAGTACTGTGTGATTCAAGCCATTTGATAATGAAGTATTGTGCAGATTTACATCACATGTTTCTTGATTGGGGATGTAAATTGATTTCTGTCACACAAATGCCCTCTTAATGATACACATAATGAGTTTGGATTAAAACTGTGGAGGGGGCAATTAGACTATGAAATAAAAGTGGTGGTTATTTTATGTCAAAGCAGTAACGTGATTGGAGGGTTGGGGATCTCTTTTGGTAACAGAACATGCTGTTTTCTGCTCTTTTTTTTTTTAAAGGGCAAAAAGCTGAATGGCTTTAGATCAAACTTCATTTTCTAACATAAATGCTTTTATTAATCAGAAGCAAAGTCCAGGAAACTTTGCTGATGAAAGCAGGAACAGCCGAACATTAGTAACTGAGAACCAGAGCTGTCACAACAGTCATGGTATTACTTGCATCTTACCACTCTGCCTGTTGCAAGTGAAGGCAGCCATGTGAATGACCTGTGTGTCTCTGCCTCATCTGCACTCTGTCCACAGTTTCATCCTTACTGTTACTGTTTCCAAAAAAACTCGAGCACCTGAGCAACTTCAAAATACTTCAGTTTTATTAGTAAAACCATTGCTCTGTTCAAACCTGTTTTCTTTTGCACCAAATGCAGTGTTTCTATCATACCCCTATTCCTCAATGTAGTTCAGGTCCTGCTTTGTAGGGTAGGTGGTGACAGAGATTGGTAAATCTAACAATGAGAAGTTTAGGTGGAAAAGAAAGGTTTTTCTTTCTGAAGATGCTCTTCCTTTGCATTTCAGTGAGAATCTTAGAAAAGTCTGAAGTGGTCTCTGATAGGTAAAATGTTAATGGACCAGTATTCTTTATGTTTTTGTTTCTTTCAATGTTACCTGCTTTAAAAGAATAGCGTAGAGATGAAGTTTTGCTTTATGACAGGTTTTCTGGGCTTGGGCATAATTTTGGAGTTGGGTGTTTTGGTTTTGGGGTTTTTTATATATATATATATATAAATCAGGTTAGAAAGTTAGTACTTTCTTGCTATTCTTCAGATAGGTGAATTTTCCTTATCTGTATCCATAAGTAACATGAGAACAACTGATTAGAAGGGTGGTGCTACTGAATGTGTGTTCTTTGTCTTGCAAGTGTTAAACTAATGCATCTGAGTGTGAAGGCAGAGAACCAGATGAAGGAAATGAATGTGAAAAAAGAACTTGCTTTGAAACAAGTACTGCCTGTTAAGACTTGCAAACTTACTATGTTCCTAACAGCTACCAAGGTTTTTCCAGCTCTGCTCTGATAATGTGTGGGGAGTTAGGAAAGCCTGTGCTGAATGCTTCATGGCGGTTTCTTGTGCAACATCGCAGGAAGTCCGGAGGACAAAATTGTCATCCCTTTTTATTAATTTGATTAGTGATCCTTCACGATGGGTAAGAATTGTGTTTTATTTCTTGAATAGCTGTCATATTTAAAGGATTTTACTGTAATACTCCATATAGAACTTCTCCCCATAGGTGTGGATAACATAAATTGTTTCATGCACCTCAAGCAAAATTCTTCTTAAACTGCTTAGTTTGTCAATACGTGTAGAGTCCCTCACATTTTCACTGCAGCATGTAAGAAAAACTGTCAGTGGGATAGCTTTTCTTAGCTATAGAACTGCCTGTGACTTAACATTGCTGAAAGTCATTAACAAAAGTAGAAAATTAGATGTGATTTATTTGTATTTCTCCAGGTTCCCTACCATCACCTCCTTTTGGGGGGAGCGGGTGGGGAGTGGTATTTGGTTTTGGGTTTGGTGGGTTTTTGTCTTTTTTGTTTTGGGGGGTGGGTGTGTGTGGGGTTTTTTTTGTCTTTTGGTGGTATGGAGTTTTTTGTCTTGAAGATCTACTCTTCAAACCTTGTTAAGTTTCTTATTGAGCATACTACTTCCAAGAGCCAAAAGTAGATCTTTTGCACAGGAGCATGAGCTCTTGGATCCTTGAAAGTCATGCAAGTTTTAGCCCAGCAGAATTAATCAAATAATAAAAATGGAGGTAGATAATTATTGAGAAGGGAAGAATAAATAGTAGGAGAAAGGAGGAGCAAATGAACAACACAGCCAAATAGGAAAGGGTAAGAAATGCAGAGGTTATCATCAGTTAAACTTATGGTAGTGAAATGTCTGTTTGCTGCACATAATCTTTTCAAGTTGTTAAAATTCTCAACTGAGCTTTCAAATTTACCTGCTTCTACTATCTAAACAATTGTGATTTGTTTGGTTGTGAGGAATAGGCTTGTCAACTTACTTACCTGTGATTTAATTGAGTTTTTTCCAATTTTTCCAGGCATTTATATTTTACAGGACAGCAAGATTATATATATAAATAATTTTTTTCACCTTGGACCCTTTCCACTAGGTCCGCCAAGCTGCATTTCAGTCTCTGGGGCCTTTCATATCAACTTTTGCCAATCCATCTAGCAGTGGCCAGTACTTTAAAGAAGAAGATGGTAAAAACCCAGAAGACTGTGGTTCTGCACAGGAAAACAGGTAAAGAATTTGCCAAATCTACAAATTATATTTTCCTCCTTGTTCTGTATGAACTGCAAGTTAAGAAAAGTAACTTTCCTGTATAAATTATTTATCTTGGTGAATGGAAAGATCTGGAACTTCTCATCTTAACTGAAAATTTTGGTAGTCTATTATTTACTAAAACTACATGACTATTTAGTAACTTAGGATACCTTAGGATATACCTTCTGTGGTGAAATGACTGACTTGATAGACAAGGGAGAGCAGTGGATATAGTCTGCCTAGATTTCAGTAAGGCTTTTGACATGGTTAAGTAAGGCTTTTTGACATGAGATCCTCATAGAGAAGCTGATAAAGTGTGGGCTGAATGAGCAGACAGTGAGGTGGATTGGCAGCTGGCTGAATGGACGGTCCCAGAGGGTGCTGATCAGGGACACATAATTGGAGGCCAATAACTGGTCGTGTACCTCAGGGGTCAGTATTGAGTCCTGTTTAACATCTTCATTAATGATCTAGACAGTGGAGCAGGATGTACCCTCAGCAAGTTTGCTGATGACACAAAACTGGGAGGAGTGGCTGATGTGCCAGAGGGTCATGCTGCTGTCCAGAGGGACCTCGATAGACTGGGGAAATAGGCTGGCAGGAACCTCGTGAAGTTCAACAAGGGGAAGTGCAAAGTCCTGCACCTGGGGAGGAACAACCCCTCCATGCACCAGTACATACTGGGGTCTGTCCAGCTGGAAAGCAGCTTTGCAGAAAAGACCCTAAGGGTCCCGGTAGACACTAAGTTGACCACGAGCCAGCAACGTGTCCTTGCCACAAAGACCACCAATGATATCCTGGGCTGCATTAGGAGGAGTGTTGTCGAGAGAGGTGATCCTGCCCCTCTGGTCTGTACTAGTGAGGCCACAGCTGCAGTGCTGGGTCCAGTTCTGGGTTTCCTAGTACAAGACACATGAACATAGTGGAGAGAGTCCAGGAATGGCCACAAAGATGATGGACTGGAGCATCTCTCCTATGAGGACAGGCTGGGAGAGGTGGGACTCTGTGAGAAGAGAAGGCTCGGGGATCTCATTGATGTGTATAAATACTTGAAGGGAGGGAAGAAAGAGGACAGAGCCAGGCTCTTTCCAGTGGTGCCCAGTGACAGGACCGGAGGCAATGTGCACAACCTGAAACACAGGAGGTTCCCTCTGAACATCAGGAAGCACTTTTTTTTTACTGTGAGGATGACCGAGCTCTACACAGGTTGTCCAGGGAGGTTATGGAGTCTTCAATCTTGGGAGATACTCAAAAGCTATCTAGATGTGATGCTGGGCAACTAGCTCTAGGTTGCCCTGCTTGAGCCAGGAGGATTGGCCCAGATGACCTCCAGAGATCCTTTCCAACCTCAACCATTCTGTGATTCTAGCGATTTACTTTGCTATGCTGCAAGTAAATCTATTATGATAAATAGCAAGCTGATAGCATGCATGTGAATTTTCAAGAGCATCTGTTCGCAACAAGTATATTTTGGTTTTAAATGTTCATTTGCTTTGGCACTCAACAGTGAACAAGTCAGGACTGCAGATGATGTCACAACAGAGGATGAGCACAACAGGACAGAGGATCTGTCTTCACATGTTGATAATGACGATTTTGCAACAAAACTTGAAAATACCATGGAAGATCGAAATACAGTGTCAAATAACTCCCAGAGCGCAAATGATTTCCAGACTGAGTCATCTTTCCATTGCACTTTGTCTTCAGAATCTTGTGGGGAAATGTCTGATGAGAACAAGCGAAGTTCTCATTGCTGTACAGCAGGTCTGCGGGAGGCTGGGCTGAATTCACAGGAAACCTCTCTTTCAGAGCAGGAATTGTACAACTCTTTCCATTTCTGGAGGACTCCACTTCCTGAAATAGATATTGACTTTGAGCTTCAGCAGAATTCCGAGATAATACTCGATAGAGAAATTCAGGAACTCACTATGCCAGTGTCTCCAAACATTCCTATGGCAACAAGGAAAGAATTGGAAGAAATGATAGAAAACTTGGAACCCCATATAGATGATCCAGATGTTAAAGGTATAGTAAAGATTCTGAAGCATTTTTATTGTTTGGAGATATGCATATGTTGCTTTAGCAGTTTGGGCTTTAACCTTTTGGTTGTTTTAAAGTCAGAAGTACTACTCTGTCCTGGTCCTCAAAGAAATTGTATCTATTTTGATTTAATTGTGAAAATGGATGATGAACTAAAAGGGAACTTGTTTTTGTTAAAGGTAGTATGTATGATTCCTTCCATAAACTGAATACACATACAGTTAGCAGTATAAACTTCTGACCACCTGTTTTAGCAGTATAATCAAATAGATAGTTCAACGGCATAAGCTGTTGATCGGGAAATTAACTTGTAATTAGTGAACATGGCAAAATAAGAAGGCAGATTATGATTTTTTTATTAAATATTGAAGTGTGATAAATGGTTTTCACTTTATGGATTATACATTTTATTTTTAATGAATTAATCTTCTCCTGAATGAGACCTCTCTGCGAGGTCTTTATTATTGCAGTCTCATGTTGTCGGCTTAAGTGTGCCAAGTTGGTTGGGTCAAGTTGAGAATTGATCCAAACTGAATTCTTGAAGTGAATGCATATCCTCCATTTTAAAGGCTCTTGAAGGATGGAGAAGGCTTTCATAAGTATGACCAGCTGGTGGAGCAGCACCTCAGAGATACCTCCTGGGCTAAAATGACATGGCTATTTCACATATACCTACTGGAGATACGTTTCTCTTGGTATTCATATCCTGAATAAATTTTAAAGCACATAAAGCTTGAGTCACAGTCAGAAAGTCCAGAGGTACCGCTAAGGAAGAAGCCATGTCATTCTGGAGCTGAAGAATCCCTAGGGGAAATCATGTCTCTACCAGGAAAAGTAGGAAGGAAAAAAAGAGGGCCAAGTTGGGAGTGAGAAAAGCATTTTAGAATAAACTGATACTGCTTTCAACAACAACTTGTTGTTAGGAGGTTGATATGCTAGTAACTTTTCTTAAATCCCTTTTGGGCTGCTTCTATTTAATCTATTGTGAAGTCAGCAGATAAAACTTTGTTGCTCTAAGAGTGCTTTGGGTGCTCTCTCTCTATGGAAAGAGATAAGAAAAAAATTTCGGCCTTGCTAATGATTTCAGTCTTCACATAACACATCTCTGAAGCCCACTGTTAAAACTTGCACTGTTGTTTAGGTTTGTTTTATAAAACCTTGTTCTGTTCAGTTACAGAACATATCTTAAACACTTTTAAGGAGGATTTATGTAGGTTTGTATTTGTACATTCAGAATTGTCCTGTGTGACAAGGTGATTGTGTCTATTTGTGTCTTGTTTCAGAGCAGATTTTTTTTTTTGGTAGCTGTCTTGACTGGGTGTCAACAGGTTTTCTGTGCACTTGTTGACTTCCACTTGTGCATTTCAGTAGAAGAAAACTGTTACTGGGGTTGTCAACACCATGGGTTCCCTGTGCCTACAAGTTAGGAAAGATTTGAATTAGGGTTACCAGTGCCATTTTTTCTAATTTGAGGTGAGGGTAGGTGATTTTTAATTACTTGGTCACCTTTGTATTCCATTCAGTACCTCTGACTTGGTTAAGGCTGTGTAGTAAAGCCCCATGAAACACACCTTCTAAACCTTGTACTCTTCTATTTTTTTTTCTCTTGCCTGTACTCTCATTACTTACTAAAGACTTCAAACATGCCTGTTTTGATTTGGTAATGTTGCTGGTTTAACTTTACACAAAATACATTGAGGCATAAGGAAATTCAGACCAAAACTGATAGAATAGTATTAATTTTGCACGCTTGTCTCAAACATTAAAGCACGCATAAAGATCTAGGTATGCAGAATTTAGTCTGGGTAGCTGCCTTAATGCCTATATTTTGGACCTTACATTCCATAAATTGTGACAACAGGGAGTTAAACTCCCTTTGGGGATGATCCGGAAAATTGGAGCCCTGACTGCCTCTTTTCTCATGGCAATACCAGGGATAATGCTTCCATCTTTACCATCTAAAACTGCTGTTGCAAACTGATGGTATAAATATTCATTCCAAAGGTGGCCTTAATATGTTATTTCCATAGAAATTTTGTAAAATTTCTTAATTTCACAGATAATTTTGTCTCTAGTATGCAGGGCTTACAAGTGTTTGCTAAACAGCCCTGGTCCCGAGTGGTGCTTAGGGTTCTTTCTCTACCCTCCCCTTCCCCATCCCCCTGCCCACAAGACTAGCCGTTATGTTTTTGAGAGTCTTGTACTGTGAGTGGGCTGGTTCTTGACAGCAAGCTAGGAATTACTGTGGGGTTTTTCCTCTCTCTCTCCCTCTCTCCCCTTGTGACCTTTTTCTTGCACTTTTCTTCATTGGTTTGCTGTCACCCAAGTCCTGGATTCCTGCTTCCATGCTGTGCTCCTGTCTTTATTACTGCATTCTCAGACGAGGGATGGGAGCGGAAGATACTGTGTTCTCTGGTGGGTAAGCGGGGGCCTGTCATACTGGAGAGCTCCCATAGGTACACATCTTCTGGTTTCTATAGCAAATGGGGCAAGCATCCTAGAGACATCACGAGATGAAGTGGGGATGAGTTAACAAAAGGGTAGTTTGAGATTGTAGTATATGATGTTATGCATGTGTCAATAAGTTTAAGCTGTTCAGATGACCTTAACTCTGGTTGTACCTACCCTCTCAGTGCTTGACTGCGTAACTTCAGCATCCTTAACGTGTTTTGTTCCAGAGGATGTTTTCTAAGCTTAAAAAAAAAAAAAAAAAAAAAGAAGAAAACTAATACCTGTTGTGTGGAACCTTATTGGCTGGGGTCATTGATATAGGGTTTTTGAAGGTTCTTAAGATCACACTGAATTTTTATTATTTGACTCTGCAGGATAACTGGTGATGCTAGTAAGGTGATGATGTGGTACAATCAGCAGAGATTGATTTCTGTTTTGCTAGTTGATTCAGAGCCAGTCCCTGACAGCTGAGGCAGGTGTGGAGATTTGGTACTGGAGTTCAATTGGCAATGATTCTTTGAGTCAGAGGAGTACAGTTTTTTCTTTCTTTCTTTTCCCCACCCCTGTGCTTTGTGCTGTATATGCATCTGTAGCAACTACTATACCTTTGTTCCCCTGTCCCCTCCCTCTATATGCTTTAACCCTCTTAATTCCTTTTTTGTTTTAATTTATCTTCCTTTCTGGATTCTGCATTCCTCTACTTCACATATCTCACCTCAGCCTTCTATGTTGTGTAAGGTGGTTCTTCCCTCACCTCCTTTCATCATTATAGCAGAGGTATTGAGAACAGAATAACTCAGTTTTTATCTAACGGGTACCTCAGTGTGTCATGACAAGGGGAAGGATCAGTTGAAAGGCATTGCCAGGTCATGAAGCCCGGAGTACAGTGTGTTCAGTGCATACCCTAATTTTCCAGATGTCTTGGCTGCCAAACACTACTGGCTTACTGTTTACATACACAGAAGGAACTGTTTGTGATTGTGTGGGGTTTTTGGTGGTTTTGTTTGTTTTGAGGGTTTTTAGGTTTGTAACTTGACTGTGTTTTCTGTGTTTCTGAAGTATACCTCCCTATCATCGGAGCAGTTTCCATTTCAACTTCAAATCGTTGCCCCAAGGCATGGAGACTGATGAGGTCTCCAGCAAATACAATTTTTAACAGTGACCAGCAACTGCCATAGAACTTTTTTTTTCCGTAATCTCATTCTCAGAAAGGGGTGAACTGCTTTAACTGACTCTCACTTCCAAAAATCTTTACCTTGAGGCTTTCTTTCCAGAACTAGCTTGTTGCCAAAGTGATAAATCTGAGTAATAAGTAGTTGAGCAGTCAGCAACGAAGATAATGGCAGCCTGTCTTCGCACAGGCAAACTCTACTGGCTAGCAGAGCTGTGCAAAGTTAAGTAGTGGTACGTGATCACTGTTAATAGGACCTTTCCAATCCACTGGCCAGACTTCCTGAGGGTCTCAGCCTGGGAGATGGAAACCTGCATGTTCCTCTGAAGTATGCCAGCTCTTCTGAAATTATCACAGGGTCTTTATTTAGGCCACCTTTTTCCAGCTCCCTGAGGCTGCTGCTGCCTTCACTTACTTCAGAGGTTGCTTTTCTTTCTCCAGATGTTTTTATTTCTTTATTTTTCTTTCCAAGGACACTTTCTTTAGCTTAATTTATCTCATGTTCTGTGTAGAAAGTGCTAAATCATGTAACATCAGCTTTTCTTAATATTATTCAGGGGAAGAGTGAAAGCCTGACTTGCAGGTTGCTGGGGCTAACTGTGGCTTATGCCAGTTACAGGCTGCTTTGCCAAATGGAGACCTAATAGGGATAAACCAGCCCAAATGTGGGGTCAATTCCCTTATAAAAACTATGTTTATAAGTTAGGCTACTAGCGCTGCCTGTAGTAAAAGTCTAAAATACATTGTTAATGGAACTGTAGGTGAGGAGGAAGTAGAGAAGAAACTCCGCTTTTATATTTTATTTACTTGTGTTGCTGAACCCATTAATGCAGCCCATAGCTTTTGCCTCTGAGTAAGAAGTGAGGGTAAGGAAGGCAGATCCTTCAGAAAAGAGTAGAGAGCGTGCCACTTAAATATCAGTGTGAAACATCAGGAGAAACAGAAAACGGCACTAAAATGTATTGAAAGGACAGAAACTCCTGAGGACTGTGAAGTTTTACAAGGCCAGCTAAAATGTGGTTTTGAATTTAAATGTTGTGCCAGTTATTTTGGGATGCAGGTATAGTAGCCAAGACTAAATAATTCCTTGCTAAAAAATACTTAGCACTTAAAGCAAAAGTCAAAGGAAGAAAGAGTTAAATAACAGATTGTTCAAGATCGAGTAAACATTGACTTTATCTTAGCAGTGCAATGCATGAATTCTGTGTTTTCCACACAACTGGCTTTTACACTCCACTTTTTACTGAAGGTAATTGTGAAAGCTAGTTATCCGGCAGATCCCCTTCAGTCTTTCTCCCAAAATCTTGCTTCCGAAGAGCTCTGAGGCATTTCTGTGCATCCCACATGAAAAGGGAGACTTATCCTTTGCTTGTACTTTCAGTGGTTTTCTGGAAAATGTTGCCTATCTAATAGCTGTAGGAAAGATCTTTGTAGGAGATGGGGAGGAGCAGCAGTCATCTCAGTCAAGAGGGTATAAGCACAGCTCTTGAGCTGTGCCTGTGTGTGAAGGGATTACAAGGGGATGTGCCCTGGCACCTGAGCCTGGGGTGGTGAAGA